AGCGGCCATCCGTGTAACAAATCGAAACAACAACTCAATTCGTTGTGGGCACGTTAAGCAGACGCAGCGACAATTCACTTAGGAACCAGCCACTCACACACGCACACACCACACGCGCGTCCGCGCTTCATCCACTCACACGTGCTAACGAAGGCCCCATTCATTTTTTCCGGTCACTCACAGCGCTCACGAATTAAGGGGGTGATTGGGGAGGAAGGCTTAGTGCGCCGTCCTTTCGCTCCTCTGTTCCCATCTCTGGCCGTCGCGTCAAAGCGCCGCCGTGACCCCAGCACCACATTACCGAGTCCATTTCCCCCCCTCCTCCTCCTCTGTGAACCCGCCTGCCCGCTGATTATTCTGCCTCTGCCACGGACCTATAATCTGCAACGTGAATCCGGACACGTCAAACATCCCCAATTCATCTTTATTCCCAGGCGTCGCGACGTATCTGCCCCCAATACCGCAATCGTAAAACGACTGACTTCAACTCGTAACGCGCATCGCACGGCGTACGCTCACTTGCGAAAAGAGAGGACGACTCAGAGGCGCCAGCAGCAGCAGCCGCGCGGAGAGCCGGCGCCAGCAATTGCCCGAGATCTGCGATCCTATAACATATGAAGGTGTCAGTGAGTTCATGTGTCGTAAACGAAGCAGGCCAATTCGTTACTAGTACAGCACACCGGTGTGTGATCTAACTCCCCCAAAACCCCCTCTATTATGGACAATATTGCTCGCGAAAGCCTACGTGTTAAAGAGCTCACATGTGCTTACATGTAGGAGGAAACTCAAGTACCCAGATACGACTGACGCGTGCTCGGGGGGTAACACTCGAACTCAGGGTCCCCAACCCCCGGGCCACGGACCGATAAGGAACCGGGCCGCACAGCAGCAGGAGGTGAGAGCGGTGAGTCTGCGCGATTGGAACCCGCCCCCATTGGTTTATTATTGACCACTTCCATCCGCGCCTCTTTCCCGCACTGCGCACTTCTCTCAGTTACAGTGTTGGTGAGCCCACGAGCTGCTACCCCCTAGTAGCCACAATGAGTAAAAAACAAACGTCGCTGGAGAGATTCTTTCAAAAGGGGGAAAGACCCAAAGATGACCCCCCCCCCTCCCCCGTCCGTGAAAGTGATTGTCTTCCACGAAACCAGTCCCTGGTGTCAAAAAGGTTGGGAACCGCTGCGTGGAGCCCATGCGGACGGAACAGGTGCAGTCCATATTGGTGCAGTACCGCCCTCTCGTGGCGAGCTGGGGTATGGCACCTCCTCCACACCCGCGGGGTCGTGGAGTCTCGGCAACATTCGTGTTGGTGGATCACACGGGGGCTCTGATGTAGCCACGAGGCCGTGGCCAACGCCTCGGCCCCCTCCTCCTCCTCCGCCCACGCGGATCTCCTTCTCAGAGCAGCTGGTGGACGGGGTCGACAAGTAGGGCGTCACGGTGGCTACGAGATGTTAACTACCTCGCCTGGTGTACAGGAGGTAGTGGCTTCAATCCCGACCGAGACAATGCCTGCTGTATATTTGGAGTTTGCGCGTTCACGCCATGGTCGTGTGGATCTTTCTCGGAGTCAATCGGTTTTCCCCAAAACATTTAGAAACGTGCTTTTAGAGTATTTGGCTGCAAAACATTTCCACACGATAAGCCACTTCGCTGACTGATCATTTGTGACCAGGTCCCTTCTGAAAAAGAGCCGTATAGCTCAGGGTGGTGGGCCTTCACTGGTAAAATAAAATGTACGTATGACGTTGGACTTCTTTCTCGCCGTACGCAGCCAAAACGCGTCGTTTAGTTTCATTGAGCCACGTGCCCAAAGTGACAGAGTGAGTTTGCGTCTCTGTGCCATGCAGGGCATCAATCCTCATCATCTTAGCCTCCCTGCAGTTCGGCCACGCTGTGACAGTCATCCCATGAAACATGTAACCAGCACACCCCCCCCACACCCCCTACGTGGGAAAGACATTCTTCACGTGTGGACGACACGGCCGGAACGTGTCCTGCGTGTCTTGCGGGAGAAAGGAAATCGCTCTCCAGCAGCGCCAATCACTCGCCGAAGCTCGGGTTGCTTTGCAAAGGCTTGCGCCCGACCCGCGGAGTAAAAGTGTGAATCCTATACTAATTGGTCCGTATAAATACATCGTATAAATACATCGTATAAATACATCGTATAAATACATCGTATAAATACATCGTATTATTACATCGGCACCACCAAAGCAGTGATTCTCAACCCTTTTTTTACTTGGTGCCCCCCCCCCCCCACCTAAATCAAGACCATTCGTCCGCCCCCACCTCCCCACTTTAAATAACACAATGGAGAGATCGCACGTTCGCGCCTCTGCAGTCAACTCGGTGTGAGTGAGGCATTTGTTTCATGTTGCGTGTCCGTGTGTTGTGTCACCGCGACGCGGGCATTAGACAGTTCTCCTGCACGGTATCCACGCCGCAGCTCGCGCCTCCCACTGGATGTTTGCCGCGTCAAACGGGACCGGCATCCGCCGTGTCGGCTACGGGGACGCGTGCTGCCCTCGTGTGGACAGACGCGCCCACTGACTCGCAATGCCACTCACTACCAATTCCACTGTCTCGCACTTACACGGACCAACCAACGCGTTCACGTACAGGAAGCGCGGTGTGCGGCTCTCATCATCATCATCAGCAGCAAGAGGAGGAGGATCTGGAGGAGGAGCAGAAGTAGGGGGCGCATGACGAGGAGCATGAGCATCAGGGGGAAGAGGTGTTTACGTCATCGCCTCGGAGTCAACAAATATTCCCACACGATTGCTTGTCACGCTGGCGATGTTGACGAGGCAGGCTGAGGATGTGTGGTCTCGATGGCTCAGTGGACGAATTAATTAGCGTCGCTTACGCGACCCACGTCGTCACCTCCGTAATTATCTCGTGCCCCGCTTAATGCATTGGCTCGGGGAGGGCTGCGGGGGGTTCCCAGGGGGGATCCCCCCCGACCCCTCCCCTCACCACTCCCCCACCACCCCGCGAGACCAACCCGTGCCGGGCTGGCACCGTTCACTCGGCATTTACAACCCGTGCCAGGCTGGCACCGTTCACTCGGCATTTACAAACTTTTGAACCCGCGTGTCAGACCCACGCCGTTCCCGCAACGCATTATTTTTATTAAAAAAAAAAGTTCAGTTGTTCTTCTCAAATGGATGCTACTGCACACCCACCCACCCAGGCTACCTTAACGTGGTCCTTAATCAACGATGTGGACATTAGACTGTTGATTTATGTTGTCGTTCGTCTGCGAACGCGAAGCGACTCCGCGGGGCCATCTCTGTGCGTGCGTCACAGGGCCCAGCGGGCATCGCGCGCGCCACTCGCGGCGAGGGTGAGAGAGGGAGGGGGGGTCACATGAACTCAGAATCTGAATAATTGTTGACACTGGAAGAATCCGATGAGCTATGAAGCTCTTTTTCAGATGTCCCAGTCGAGCTGGGTGTCTCTCCCAGGGCCGTGCCGGGAACCCCACCACCCCCTGCCCCTCTCACCCCACGTCGCTTCCCACTGCGCGAAGCCGGGGGTTGCATTCAGCCGCGTGTTTGTTCACGGAGAGGGGGGGGGGGGGGCGGGGAGCCCGTTCACGCCACCCTCTCCCTCCTCTCACTCCGCTGGCTCCGCGCTCGCTACTCCGCCTCGGCCACGTGTTGCCCAATGTCGCATCTCCGTGACTCTCGGTGCTATCATCGCTTGGCTGTCTCCCAGCTGCCCCTTGGTCTCTTCCTCCACTCGCGGGGCCCCCTTCCCCCCCTCCCCCCATGGAGGGTCAATGTCCCTCTCCCGTCGGGAGCTGATTTCCCCATAATCGCAGACAGCTGTCTCGGGTAGCCATCACCTCGGTGCGTTGTGAGTTGGGTGGCTGTGCGGTCTACGCCACACTTTTGGGAACGCATCTAGCGCGTAAAGCGAGGGGGAGCCTGACGTGTATTTGTGTTGTGCGGCGCGCGCGGTTGAGCTGAACCCACTGAAGACAGAGAATGCTGAGAGCGATGCGACTACGTTACCCCGACCCGGACCCGGACCCCGAGGGCTCCGGCTCACGGTCCCGCGCGCCCCCTGCTCCTCGCTACGGGGTGAAGGGCGCCCCCCCCGCCCCAAACCAGAGCGGGGTCTGCATCTGCCCCCTTGTCGAGAGGGCGGAGTGGGGATCCTGGTTGGGTTCTCCACGTGCCACCGACCGAGTCGCGATCGCGCCTCTGGCCTCCGTGTCGGGGGCCACCGCTCTGAGCCGCCTCGACCTTTCACCCTGTCCCTGCCGACTGTTGTACAATAACACGCGCGCGCGCGCGCACACACACAACGACAAAGATCCCCCGTATAGCCTCAACAGACTGTTGGGGCAAGTGCTGTTTGCGAGCGCCTATGAAGGCCAGCACGGTTGCACGAGGGTTGGGTGACCAGCACCACGCCTGGCCGCCTTTGTCTCCCCAGTGACGATGGGGAGACAAAGGCGTCACTGGGTAGACAAACGCTCCCCAGTGACGATGTTTACATACCGCACCAGGTACTCATTTAAGGCTGAGTCGACCTAGGGAGGGGCTCAGATAATCGTCACGGGTGTTGGCCGTGAGCGGGAATCGAACGCGGGTCGCCAGGTTCTTAGGGCAGCGCGCTAACAGCTAGACGACCACTCCGCACGCGCGCGCGCACGTGACGTTACCGAGCACCGATTAATGCCCAGCGCTGCAGCGCCAGGCTCAGAGTGTGGCACCCGCAGGACGCCAGCTCGGGGCAGACGGGCGGGGGTGAAAGCGGCGCTGTGTTGTTTTCTCACCGAGAGATGATTGGGATGTTCGCTAATAGTGAGAGAGCACGGAGTGGGGATGGGATGAGGGGCGGGGCGCGCCGGGCGCTTTGGCACGCGCCATTCAGCTGCCACGACCGCGCGCGCGCCGCCCCCAGGGAACCTGCAGGGCGCCTCTCCCCCAACTCCACCACCACCACCACCGCAACGCGACACCCATCGCCGCTTCGCTCTCCAGGCCAGAGGCCACCCGTCGCCTCTCTCCTGCGGGATGGCGACTTCCTCCCGGGGCCACCGTCACGTCGCCTTCCTCCTTCTCCCGCTGCTGCCGCCGCTGCTGCTGCTGCTCGCGACCACGCCACAGAGCCTCACAGGTGCAGTGAGTGTCCAGCGAGTCGGCGCCGGGGACGGGCGAAAGCGCAATCCGCGTGGGGTCTCTCGTCACGGTGAAGTTGGATGTCGCGTTGCGCTCGCCCTCTGGTAGCGAACTCGCTGTGCTTACCGCACGGAACGTGGAGCGGTCTCAGGGACCCAGTTCGCCCGTCCTCCTGCTCGTGGATAGGTCACCGCGCGGTCTCGGACCGGTGACAGGATTCGAACTGGGACTTGGATGGCCACTGCGATATGAATCCCGTGAGTGGCGTACCGGTGTATGTCGTTGTGCGCGCGTGTGTGTGTGGAGCGGCAGTGTAGCTAAGCGGGTTTGTAACATGCTACGCTTCGAAAACGGCGACCTAAGTTCGCTTTTCGCCCATGGAAAACACCAGCGGTGATTAGATGAACCGGTCTTGATCCCCTGCGAGGTCGACTCAGCGTCTAATGAGCACATGGTGCGGTGTGTAAACATCAACGCTAGGGAGGCAAAGGCGGCCGGGCGTGGTGTTGGCCACCTATCCCCTCGTGTGCCGTGCCGACCTTCACAGGTGCTCGCTAACAGCACTTGTCCCAGGAGTCTGTTAAGGCTATTGGGGTGTCTTTGTCTTTGTGCGGGAGAGTGCAGTGAGTTGGACGAAGTGGTGTGTGTCCACTGCGCTACGAACCCGGTTACCCGAGTTCTATTCTCGCTCACGGCCAACACCAGTAATAGCGATTATCTGAACCGGCCCTGGGCTTCCCCTAGGTCGACTCAGCCTTAAACGCGTGTGTGTGTGTCGAGGCACGAGTGTCATCCCGTGTGGCCACGTGATGAGCTGGGCAAGACTCCAGTTCTGAGTCCTCGGATCTGCATCACCCACTTGACGCAACGGCACGTGTCCTGCTCCGGTGTCTCCAACCTCGACTCATCGTCGGGCACGCACGGACCGCCTTGCCAGTTGACGGCAACGACGGCTCCCCAAGTCGGGCGTCGATGTTATTGTTCTTGTTGTTGTTGACGCTAACCAAATTCACAGCTATTATCGGAAGCCAGATCGTGTTTGTTGTGCATTGACACTCACTTGTTCTAAACTAGATCGCGTAACCCCTAACACCCCCCCCCGCCGCCTCCCATCGATGAGTTACAGATGTTCTCGGCCTCGAATGGGACGGTTGTTTTAGCGCTCAGAAGCGAGCGAGCTTGCCTAATCCACATGCCTCAGCTGTCGCAGTAGGCTCGCGGACGATGCAGAGCAAAGGCCAAGATCCAGCATCGAGAGGCCGTGCAGGATAGATGGGAGCTGTTAGCGAGCACAGCATTTTAGAGGCCGGCACGGCACACGAGGGGGTGGGTGGCCAGAACCGCGCACGGCCACCTCGCCACCTCAGTGAGGATGCTTACGCACCGCACCAGGTACTCATTCACGGCTGAGTCGACCTAGGAGAGGCTCACAGGGCCGGTTACAATATTCGCCACTGTTATTTGTCATAGGCGGGAATCGAATTGGGGTCGCTGGGTTCGTAATGCGGCGCGCTAACCACTGCGCCACCGCTCACCGTACACAGACACAGACAGACGTACAGACACACAAATCGAAGACAGACACACAGACACACTCGACCTCCGATGAAGGCCGCCACGGCAGACGACGGGGTGGGTGGCCAGCATCACAATCGACCGCCTTTGTTTCCCCAGTAGCGCTGTCTTTACGCAACCGCACCAGGTACTCATTTGAGGCTGAGTCGACCTAGGGGAGTCCCAGGACTGGTGGGCGAGAATCGAACTCGCGTCGCCGGGTTCCTAGCGCAGCGCGTTAACCGCTACACTCCCGCTTCTCTCATAGACACAGACGCGCACACAACACAGGTCCACACAGATGTACAGACACACAAATCAAAGACAGATATTCAGACGCACTCGAGGTCTGGCTGCATGCACGCAGCCCTGCCCGCTGCGAGTGCATGGCGGTCATTGATTTGAAGCTGCACAGTTGTGTAAGAATGTGTCACGTTGTGTGTCACGTTGTGTCAGATTTGGTTACATTGTCTCGCGCTGTCACATCGTTTGATATTGTGTCACTGTGTCGCATTGTGTCGCTGTGTCACATTGCGTGGTATTGTCTCAGTGAGTCGCATTATGTAATATTGCGTCGCATTGTCAGTGTCGCATTGTGTGAACGGGTGTCAGATTTAGTCACATTGTGCGGCACCCTGTGTGAGATTGGGTTGTCTTGTGTCGCATTATGCCCCATCGCGTGACAATGTGTCACTGAGTCGCATTATGCCCCATCGCGTGGCAATGTGTCACTGAGTCGCATTGTGTCCCATCGCGTGGCAATGTGTCACTGAGTCGCATTATGCCCCATCGCGTGGCAATGTGTCACTGAGTCGCATTATGCCCCATCGCGTGGCAATGTGTCACTGAGTCGCATTGTGTCCCATCGCGTGGCAATGTGTCACTGAGTCGCATTATGCCCCATCGCGTGGCAATGTGTCACTGAGTCGCATTATGCCCCATCGCGTGGCAATGTGTCACTGAGTCGCATTATGCCCCATCGCGTGGCAATGTGTCACTGAGTCGCATTATGCCCCATCGCGTGGCAATGTGTCACTGAGTCGCATTATGCCCCATCGCGTGGCAATGTGTCATTGAGTCGCATTATGTCCCATCGCGTGGCAATGTGTCACTGAGTCGCATTATGCCCCATCGCGTGGCAATGTGTCACTGAGTCGCATTATGCCCCATCGCGTGGCAATGTGTCACTGAGTCGCATTATGCCCCATCGCGTGGCATTGTGTCACTGAGTCGCATTATGTCCCATCGCGTGGCAATGTGTCACTGAGTCGCATTATGCCCCATTGCGTGGCAATGTGTCACTGAGTCGCATTATGCCCCATCGCGTGGCATTGTGTCACTGAGTCGCATTATGTCCCATCGCGTGGCAATGTGTCACTGAGTCGCATTATGCCCCATTGCGTGGCATTGTGTCACTGAGTCGCATTATGTCCCATTGCGTGGCATTGTGTCACTGAGTCGCATTGTGTCCCATCGCGTGGCAATGTGTCACTGAGTCGCATTATGCCCCATCGCGTGGCAATGTGTCACTGAGTCGCATTATGTCCCATTGCGTGGCATTGTGTCACTGAGTCGCATTATGTCCCATTGCATGGCATTGTGTCACTGAGTCGCATTGTGCCCCATCGCGTGGCAATGTGTCACTGAGTCGCATTATGCCCCATCGCGTGGCATTGTGTCACTGAGTCGCATTGTGTCCCATTGCGTGGCAATGTGTCACTGAGTCGCATTATGTCCCATTGCGTGGCAATGTGTCACTGAGTCGCATTGTGTCCCATCGCGTGGCATTGTGTCACTGAGTCGCATTATGTCCCATCGCGTGGCATTGTGTCACTGAGTCGCATTGTGTCCCATCGCGTGGCAATGTGTCACTGAGTCGCATTGTGTCCCATCGCGTGGCATTGTGTCACTGAGTCGCATTATGTCCCATTGCGTGGCAATGTGTCACTGAGTCGCATTATGTCCCATCGCGTGGCAATGTGTCACTGAGTCGCATTATGTCCCATTGCGTGACATTGTGTCACTGAGTCGCATTATGTCCCATCGCGTGGCAATGTGTCACTGAGTCGCATTGTGTCCCATCGCGTGGCAATGTGTCACTGAGTCGCATTATGTCCCATCGCGTGGCAATGTGTTACTGAGTCGCATTGTGTCCCATTGCGTGGCATTGTGTCACTGAGTCGCATTGTGTCCCATTGCGTGGCATTGTGTCACTGAGTCGCATTGTGTCCCATCGCGTGGCGTTGTGTCACTGAGTCGCATTGTGTCCCATCGCGTGGCATTGTGTCACTGAGTCGCATTGTGTCCCATCGCGTGGCGTTGTGTCACTGAGTCGCATTGTGTCCCATCGCGTGGCATTGTGTCACTGAGTCGCATCGTGTCCCATTGCGTGGCGTTGTGTCACTGAGTCGCATTGTGTCCCATCGCGTGGCGTTGTGTCACTGAGTCGCATTGTGTCCCATCGCGTGGCATTGTGTCACTGAGTCGCATCGTGTCCCATTGCCTGGTCTTGTTTCGCGCTGTGGCGCAGCGAGGCGGCGGGACTCGCTGGGGGGTGGAGGGGGCAGTGGGGCGCGGGGGGGTGCGGGTTGAGTGGAGTTGGGTGGCGTGGCTCGCACGAAACGGGTGGCGGTAGGCGAGCTAGGGGGGTCACTGGGTTGTCGAGGGAGTGCGTGGGTCATGTAGGGCACAGCGGTGGGGGCAGGAGGGGGGGTTAGAAGGGAGTGAGACCCCCCCCCCATACACCTGACACTCACCAATTGGATTGGACAAATATCCGAATTTCAAAATGCCCCCCGCCCACTTCCCTTGCCGCGTGCTCAAACTTCCCCGTGTTGATTAAGGGGCGTCGTTATGATTGTTGTGGTGGTGGTGGCAGCAGCACATCAACGAAGGTCGCGATTAACTCATGATGGCTCCAATAATCCACGGGTGATGAGGGTGACGGTGATTTGATGATAGCAATTATGAGGATGATGATTCAATATTGATTTTTTTGGTCAGTCCGCGGAGGTAAAATTCGTGCGGCACGGCCTCCTCCACCCGACGCAGTCGATTAGTAAAGTTGTCACGTGGAGAAACGTGGTCAAATTGTAACTTTTTAAATTGGAAAACGATCCACACACTGTCACCAATTAGGTAGTCCGACGTTTCGCTGGCAGTTACCTCCATTATGATCAAGCATCGTATCACCCGTGGATTATTACCGTCATCATGATCTCATCACAATCTTTGCCATCTTGTTAACACCACTTCCACCACTTAGCATCACAACAACAACGAAGCCTCCCCTCTGAGCCCTCCCCACACCCGTGCCTCCCCCCGCCATGCCACCCCCAGCTCTCCGCTGCGTGTGCCTGCGCTGCGCCCGCACCAACTACACCTGCGACACGGACGGCCTGTGCCTCGCCTCGGCCACGCGTCTGGAGAACGGCTCCGTGGTGCACGAGCGCGTGTGCGTCTCGCTCCGCAACCTGCAGCCCCCGCACCGCCCCTTCTTCTGCCTGCGCTCCGTGCAGTTCTACGAGACGCTCTGCTGCGACACGGACTTCTGCAACAGCGTGGACATCGCCCCGCCCGCCAGCAGCGGTGAGCTGAGCGGGCAGTCGTGCCCACCCACTGCGCCACCGCTCCCCACACATGAACGCAGACAGAAACAAAGATCCCCCGTACAGCCCCAACAGACTGTGGAGGCAAGTGCTGTTAGCGAGCGCTTACGGAGGCCGGCACGGCACACGTGGGGGTGGGTGGCCAGCACCACCGCTGTTTTTACACACCGCACTAGGTACTCATTTGAGGCTGACTCGACCTAAGGGAGGCCCAGGACTGGTGAGCGGGAATCGAACTCGCGTTCATAGCACAGCGTGCTAACCACTACACTACCGCTTCTCACATAGACATAGATCACCCGTATAGCCTTAACATTCTGTTGGGGCAAGTGCTGTTAGCGAGCAGCTATGAAGGCCGTATTGACACAGACACACACACAGATGTATAGCCACAGACACACACACAGATGTATAGCCGCAGACACACACACAGATGTATAGACACAGACACACACAGATGTAGAGACACACAAATCAAAGACAGATATGCAGACGTACTCGAGCTCTGGCTGCATGCACGCAGCCTGCCCGCTGCGAGTGCGTGGCGGTCATTGTTTTGAAGCTGCGCATTGTGTCATCATGTGGCACATTGTGTCATCATGTGGCACATTGTGTCATCATGTGGCACATTGTGTCATCATGTGGCACATTGTGTCATCATGTGGCACATTGTGTCATCATGTGGCACATTGTGTCATCATGTGGCGCATTGTGTCATCATGTGGCGCATTGTGTCATCATGTGGCACATTGTGTCATCATGTGTCGCGTTGAGGAACATTGTGGGCTTTCACGCGCCTCCCACCAGCACGGTTGGCTACGTACGGTGCGAAGGAAGCGCAACGTGCACACAGACATCACACGCGCGCGCGACTCGACATCGCGAAGGAAGTGGCGCTGGTAATAAATGGGTGCTCGCTAACAGCACTTGCCCCAAGAAGTCTGTTACAGCAATACGGCGGGGGGGGGGGGGGGTGTTTGTCTTTGATGGCGATGAAGCCACCAAAGGTGTTTTTGTTTTTGGAGGCCGGGGCAAATGTGCCCCCCCTCTCGTACCGCCCCACTGAGCCCTCTGTGAGGATGAGGCCTCCCTCGGATGTGAGATCGGGAACCACCCTGGATGACGGTCACGATGGAGATGGATGAAAGTGGCTCGATTATTATTACATTTATTAGGGAGTTTATTCGAAGTTATGTTTTCAGCCAAATAATGATGATTTGTTTATTATACGAGTGGGAGGAATCCGGAGCGCCCGGATGATGATTTGATGTTTTTTTTTTATGATGTTAGTGCCTGATGATGTCCAATAAATAATGGATGGATGAGGAAGATGATGAGGATGACGATGAACGCGTCTGTGATGATGATCATGATGACAGTAAATACATAAGGAGTGGAGATTGGCATTGTCGTGATGATGACGATAACTGTGATTACAACATGGTGATTGATACGCTGATACTGCTGCTGATGATACTCATGATGATGATGATGCTGCTGATGATGCCGATGATACTGGTGATGATGATGCTGATGATGACGCTGATACTGCTTCTGATGATGATGCTGAAGATGATGCTGCTGATGACACTGATACTGCTGCTGATACTGATGATGCCGATACTGTTGCTGCTGATGATGATACTGATGATGCTAATGGTGACGCTGATACTGCTGCTGATGACACTGGTGATGCCGATATTGTTGCTGCTGCTGATGCTAGTGATGATGCTGATACTGCTGCGGATGCTAATGATGATGCTGACACTTTTGCTGCTGATGCTAACCGCGTGCCCCCAGTGGGCCCGACTCAGTCCCCGGGCCCGGCGCCGCTGTGGGGCCACATGCACGTAGTGATGGCCGCCTCGGCGCTCGCGGCGCTCTTCGCGTGCCTCTCGGCCGCGGGGCTCCGCGCGCTGCGGGGCTGGGGCCGTCACGAGGGGCCCCTCGCCGTGGGCAGGCTGCAGCGCGGCGCCCGCGCCGACAAGGAGCAGTCCCTGGGCCAGGCGTACATCCTGGACGGGGTCAGCATCCGGGACCTCTACGACTCGGGAACGACCGGCTCCGGATCTGGTACCCACCCCGCACCGCCCCCCCCCCCCCCCGCAACCTCACACGGCACATCACAAAGCGCCCACGATTGTAACGTTACTCGTCCTACTATTCTAATGGGATCCCATATTCCGTATGGCGCACTCCTACTCTGCGGTGGCGAGATGTGAACTACCTCGTCTGGTACACAGGAGGTCGTGGGTTCGATCCCGACGCCTGTGTATTTGGAGTTTGGGTGTTCTCCACCGCGGTGGCATAGATTTTTCTCCGGGTCATCCGGTTTTTCCTTCCACATTTAGAAATGCGCGTTTAGAGTATTGGGTTACTATTAATTTCCACGTGATAAGCCACTTTGTTGAGATATCATTTGTGGCCAGGTCGCTTCTGGAAAAAGGGTCATGTAGCTGAGTGGGCCTTACCTGAAAAAGATTAAGTAGGAGTAGTCGTACCATCTGGTCGTCTGGCTACATTTGTTTAACAAGCCCGACACTGCTGATGGGACCCAGGCGGTCGAAACCGGTCCAGAGCGTTAACAAACGCTGCTTGATATTATCATTGGTCCGGAAATCCGATAATTAGGCTGAGATGAACTCAAATGATGATACGTGTTGTTGCGCGGGGAGATAGAGTGGAGCTTGCGTATTTACTTTGACCCATTATCGCATGGGGGACGGTCTGCTCGGATTTCCCTTCTCCGTGAGGCTCTCCGCTCTGGCCAAATAAACGACGGTCGGAGAAGCATGACGACGATGACGTTTGCTTCACCACGTGCACGTCGCAGCAGCGAGTGGTGGCGTCACCTGGCGGACGGAGCGCGGTGTTGCACTAAATAAAACAAACAACGTGAGGCCGGCTCTGTGGAAGACGAGAGTCGGAGGAGGCTTCTTCAGATGACTGCTCACGCTGTGCAGTTCTCTTTCAAGCGAGTCTGGTCACGATGGCCGTGGTTCACAGTTATCTGAGCCGGCGCCGCTGAGATGCTGGGTTCGGATTGTGGTGTGAGCCACCCCTGAGTGATTAAACCTGGATCCTACACTGATTAAGGCGTTGGGTCGAATCGATTTCACACGCGCGAGGAAACCGGACTAACCAAAGTAACTCTACGTGCATTCGGGGATAACAGTTACAACTCCGCACAGATAGGTTCAATAATCCATTGCTGCAAATCATTGCTATTTTTAGTGCCCGGAGACCTGAGTGTTTCTCTAACACTGTGGGCCACGCAGCCACGCCGCTTATCTGTGCGTCTCTATGTGAGTCTATGGGTCTCTATGTGGGTTGATGGGTCTCTATATTCACGTATTGTCTCTATGTGAGTCTATGGGTTATCTACGTGATTAGTATATGTGTTCTCTATGTGAGCCAATGAGTTCTCTATGTGAGTCTGTGCGTTCTTTATGTGAGTCTGTGGGTCTAACCCTGAAGCCACGCACGGGCTCACCTATCAACCTTGACATAAACATATGCACATTACTGATCAACTTCCCCATGCAACCCGTACACGACAAGAAGAGGGTGAAGGAGGGTGAGGTTGGATGGATGTCTGTCCACTGCGCCGCGGGGTGGACCTCGCTGGGTGATTCGTGGGTGACCCGCTGGCTGAGCCGCTGCGTGACGTGGGGTTGACCCCGCTGGGTGACCCGCTGGGTGACCTGCTGGGTGACCCGTGGGTGACCCGTGGGTGACCTGCTGGCTTGACCCCGCTGGGTGACCCCGTGCCCGTGGCAGGCTTGCCGCTGCTGGTGCAGCGCACCATCGCGCGCACCATCGTGCTGCAGGAGGCCATCGGCAAGGGCCGCTTCGGCGAGGTGTGGCGCGGCGTGTGGAGCGGCGAGCACGTGGCCGTCAAGATCTTCTCGTCCAGGGACGAGCGCTCGTGGTTCCGCGAGACGGAGATCTACCAGACCATGATGCTGCGCCACGAGCACATCCTGGGATTCATCGCCGCCGACAACAAAGGTATCGGGCGCGGCGCCCCGAGCCCCGCCGCCTACAGCGCCCCACCAACGAAACGGAACCAAGTCACGAGCCGCCGCTGCTTCCGTCTGATAAACAATCTGACGATGGCACTGCAGCCACATGCCCCCCCACCCTTCCCCCCCCCCGTCCCCTTCGTTAAATTACATTTGTCCCCCCTTTAGACCCGTTCTCTATTCCTGTAACACGTAAAGTGCCTTTCGTTTCCCTTCCCCCGCACCTCCGATTAGCACGGGCGGCTACGTACGGTGCGACAGAAGTTCAACACGGACGCGACCGACACTCGCCGTGTGTATCGCTGACCTATGGTCACCACGGTTGCAACTAACTGGGGGCGACTTTGCTGCTGAAACGAATAATATCTTTAAACAAATAAATCCCCCCCCCCCCGCCGTGGGGCACAACGCGAACGCGCACCGGAGAGCCGCACAGCACAACCGCGATGACGCGGCGCGGTGTCGTGACCCCGGCTTTAAAGAGGCGCAACCTGCGGCGCCACGCTCGCACAGCTGTCCGTGTCCACCTGCTCGCAGACAACGGCACGTGGACGCAGCTGTGGCTCGTGTCCGACTACCACGAGCTGGGCTCCCTGTTCGACTTCCTGAACCGCACCACGGTGACCGAGAGGGAGGTCATCGCGCTCGCCCAGTCGGCAGCCAGCGGCCTGGCGCATCTGCACATGGAGATCGTGGGCACGCAGGGTGAGCTGCCTCCTCCACGCTCGCCACACCGGAGTCATCGGGCGAGGCTCAGCGCACAAGGCTCGCAACACCATCCTCGCCATAGCAGGCGTGCTGTGCCACTCTCATCGTGCTCTGTCTCTAACAGTGTCGCTTAATCACTCTGTCGATTGCTCTGTGAAACCATCTGTGGATCTCTGTCATCCTGCGGCTCTGTCACTCCGTGGCTCTCTCTGTCACCCCGTGGCTCTCTCTGTCACCTTACGGCTCTCTCTGTAACCCCGCGGCGCCATCCGCTGGTTTGTCGGTCACCATTGTCGCTTTCTCCGTCCGTCGCGTCGCGCGTCGCCACTCGGTGACTCACGCAGTCGCCTCCGCCTGCTGGTCACCCAACCAGGCAAGCCGGCGATCGCGCACCGTGACCTCAAGTCCAAGAACATCCTGGTGAAGCGCAACCGCACGTGCTGCATCGCGGACCTGGGCCTCGCCGTGCGCCACGACTCCGCCTCGGACTCCATCGACATCGCGCCCAGCAGCCGCACCGGCACCAAGCGGTGAGCGCCGGCGGCGCGGCATGCGCGGTTCGACCTCCCTCGACGGCTCGCCCTTCCATCCAGCGGTGGATTGATCGTGACTGACGACGACGACGACGAATTAGGCTGGAGCGGTGGTCTGGAGGTTAACGCACTTGCACTGCTAACCCGGACACTTGAGTTTGATTATCAGCAAGCGGTTAACATCGGTGTACGAGTGATCATCGGAACCAGGACAGCTCCACTCCCCGAAATTTCACCAACCTGCCCTGACCATCGTGGTGAAGTATGGCGGGGGAGCGGGGGGGAGCGAGGGGCAGAGCGGGGGGGGGGGGGGGGGGCTGCAGTCAGCAGCTGCACCGCCTGCCCAGGACTCGGGACTCGACAGCGGCTCCGCCCCTTGTGCGCGCGTGCAGGTACATGGCCCCCGAGGTGCTGGCCGACTCCATCAACGCGTGGCACTTCGACTCGTTCAAGCGCGCGGATATTTACGCTCTGGGGCTCGTCTTCTGGGAGATGGCGCGGCGCTGCTCCAGTGGTGGTGAGGGCGCCGTGGTGCCAATCTGCCCAGCGTCACTCGCAGCGCCCCCAACCCCGACCCCGAGTCACCGCACCTCTCAGCTCTCATGGCCTGGTCGCTGACTCGCGATGCCTGCTCTCTCATCCCTGCAACCCGATTCCTGGCCGTCTTTTTAAAATCCCTGATCCATTGTCCCTGGTTCCCTTTTGCTAACTTCTGATCCGCCGTGAATGATAGTTGGCTACGTGAAAGAAGTTCAACATACAGACGTGATCCCCAACACAGTATTCCTAATCTCCGACCGCTCTCTCTCTTTCCTGGCACCTTTTCTCTTGTGCCTCATTCCCTGGTCTCTGACTCATAATCCTACGATCCCTATTCGTTCCACAAACCTTGAATCTACGCAGCCAGCGATCGCCGATTTCTGATCCGCACGTCTCTCGTTCCTCCTCGTTGCCTCGTGGCCGCCGGTCCCCGGGTGCGCGCAGGGATCACGGAGGAGTACCAGTTGCCGTACCACGACGCGGTGCCCCCGGACCCGTCGGTGGAGGACATGCGGCGCGCGGTGTGCGACCAGAGGCTGCGGCCCAACATCCCCAACCGCTGGCAGAGCTCCGAGGTGAGTGGGGGACCCGCGTCAAAGCCGCGCACCGCCGTCGCAGTTCGATCCCACGGCACGCGCGTGGTGATAACAGCGTGGTGGTGGTGACGGCGTGGTGGTGGTGACGGCGTGGTGATAACAGCGTGGTGGTGACGGCGTGGTGGTGGAAACGGCGTGGTGATAACGGCGTGGTGGTGACGGCGTGGTGGTGGTGACGGCGTGGTGATAACAGCGTGCTGGTAACAGCATGGTGGTGACGGCGTGGTGGTGGTGACGGCGTGGTGGTGGTGACGGCGTGGTGGTGGTGACGGCGTGGTGGTGGTGACGGCGTGGTGGTGGTGACGGCGTGGTGGTGGTGACGGCGTGGTGGTGGTGACGGCGTGGTGGTGGTGACGGCGTGGTGATAACAGCGTGCTGGTAACAGCATGGTGGTGACAGCGTGGTGGTGACGGCGTGGTGGTGACGGCGTGGTGGTGGTGACGGCGTGGTGGTGGTGACGGCTCCTCTCTGTGCGCGGGGGTGGGGGGGTGGTGGATCTGGCTAAGCAGCGAGGCTCTAAGCAGCTGCAGGGACAAGAGGTGACCTCTGCACGGAGAGGCAGTCGAGCAAGTCCGACTCCCTCTGCACTCGCGCGCCGCTGCCGGCCGCGACGTCACCCATTCTTCACGACGCCTCCGTCGCTCGCGCCTTTAATCGATCCCTTCTCAAGGAATTCGCCGTTCTTCTCTATCCCGCCTCCCCCCTCCCTCTCCCTCCCCCATCGCTAAGCGTCAAATGAATAATGCACGGGTGCCCGTAAGTGCTCGCATCGCACTCTGCAGCTGCAATCAAAAGCGGCGGCCCAGCGGCTTTTTTTCTCTCTCTCCATTTGAGGCAGCGAGAGAGAGAGAGGAGACGTGAGAGGCGGCGACCCGGCGTGAACGATGAGCGTGCTCGCGAGGGCAGAGATTCGTGCCGGGAGGCTGAGGTCACCCCCGGTCACACACCTCGCCCAACCCCCCCGCCCCCACCGTGATGTCGGTGTGTTTATGAATGTGTGGGGTGTACGCGTGTAAATGTGTTTACGCGGTGCTCCAGCGAGACATGTCAGTCGACACACGCACGGCATCTGGGTCTGTCCCGTGCGTGGATGTACGAGGGAATTCACAGTGGGTGTGCATCCGACGGTCATCTCAGTCAAGCAGCCCATGGTACCCGTTCCGTGACCTCCTGCCAGTGGGCGTTCGACACTTCAGTGGCCTTAAAGTGCACATAGCCTGGCACGAGCGCTGTCGTGACGTGGCCACCATTTAGTGGTGACTAGCGGTCGTTTTTTTTCGACCCGAGTTCGATTTCCGCTCACGGCTAACACCTGTGACGATTATTTGAACCGGTCCTGGGCCTCCCCTAGGTCGACTCGGCCTCAAATAACTACCTGGTGCGATGTGTAAACATCGCCATTGGGGAGACAAAGGCAGTCGGGCGTGATGCTGGACACCCACCTCCTCGTGTACCGTGCCGGCCTTCATAGGTGCTCGCTCACAGCACTCGCCCTAATATTATCCTAAGGCTACGCGGGGGATCTTTGTCTTTGTGTGCGCTGCGATGGTTTCTACGACACCACCGCCTCTTCGAGCGCCAGTCGCGGCCTCAGTCGGTGCTCGCTCGCAGCCCTTGCCCCAACGGTCTGTCAAGGCTACACGGGGGATCTGTGTCTTTGCGTGCAGGCGCTGAGGGCGATGGGCCGCCTCATGTGCGAGTGCTGGTACGGCAACGCGGCGGCGCGGCTCACGGCGCTGCGAGTCAAGAAGTCGCTCTCGCACCTCGAGCAGCAGACGTAGCACGGCCACGGCGCCACCACGGCGATCCCCGACCCGTGCCGGGCTGGGCCCGACCCGTGCCGGGCTGGTCCCGACCCGTGCCGGAGCTGGGCCCGACCCGTGCTGGGCTGGGCCCGACCTCGCCCAACCTGGCCTGGGGCCCCAACTCGGCTCGACCCGATCTGGCACCTCGACCTGACCCGATCCAACGACTTCTCTCCGTGTCGGGTGACGCCGACCCGACTAGATCTGACCCCGGCAGAGGCTTCTCGGAGCGGGAACGCTGTGGAAGGTGACCTTTGGTGACCTTTGGTGACCTTTGGCAGGAGACGAACCCACGGCGTGGGCATCAGCGGGGACCCGGGCGCTAGACCATCACGGGGCGGGCGGGCGGGAAGTCCCCATACCCCTGTCCTAACACCTCTTATGGACTCCTATAGGTAAAGTGGTACGGGGACTTCCCGCCTGCATAACGATGGCGATGACGAAGGCTGTGAGAGCGCTCAGAAGGGTCTCGGGGAAAGGGCAGGTCTCGCAGAACAGCTGCGGGGGGTGGGGGGGGGGACGCGTCGCTCCATGAATGAATGAACGGAACGCACGGAACGAGGTGTTCCCTTCATTGCTTTGTGTTGCAGTCGCGTGTGCCATCATCGTGTGGCTCGTGAACCTTCGGCACTAAAAGTGTGCCACGTGGGTGAGCGGTGGCCTTAATAGGTGCTCGCTAACAGCACCTGCCCCAACAGTGGGGGGTGGGGGGGGGGCGGTAGTCGGTGACGTCGTCGTCGTTCACGCGATGCGCTAAACCCCATGCGACCCCAGTTCGATTCCCGGCCACGGATAACGAATGGTAGCTGAACCTATTCGGAGCCTCGTGTGCGGTCGGCTCAGCCTTGAACGAGGACCTGACGCGGTGCGGGCAAACGTCAAGGCGGCCGAGCGCGCGGGGTCCTGGCCACCACCACCCGCTCCGCGTGCAGTTGCCAGCCTTCGTAGGCGCTCACTAACAGCACTTGCCCCAGCAGTCTGTGAAAGGCTACGTGGGGCACTTTTTTCTTCTCTCGTGGTGTGTCTGTGTCTTTGTTTTGTCCACTGTGTGTGTTGTGGGGAGCGGTGGTGGAGCGGTTAGCGCCCTGCGCAACGAACGCTTGCGACCCGAGTTCTATTCCCTCTCACGGTCAACACCAGTAATAGCGATTATCTGAACCGGTCTTGGGCCTCCCCTAGGTCGACTCAGCCTTAAATGAGTACCTGGTGCGGTGTGTAAATATCGCCACTGGGGAGACAAAGGCGGTCGGGCGTGGTGATGGCCACCCCCTTATGTGCCGTGACGGTCTTCATAGCTGCTCGCTAACAGCACTTGCCACAACAGTCTGTAAGGCTACACGGGGGACCTTTGTCTTTGTGTCCACTGCACTGTAGCGGACCGCGTGGCCGGGAACGGCAATAACTTACGAAGTGTAATTCACGAAGCCTTAGTAGCGAGGATCACACTTTGTGTGCTTGGCTCATCAGTGCAGGTTTGTGCTGTGCATGTTTGGATGAAATCGCTGGAGCGAGTGGGTTGGGGTGGGGGGAAATAAAAACTACGTTTGCGGCCGATGAAACCATAATTATATCCGTTTATCGTGCGTCAGAGCACACGGGCCGGTTTTGTGCTCTCGGCATTTATCAGCAAGCCACCTTGATGAATGTAATCAACCTGGCGGCGCGCTTGGTGTTAGTGGATGATCTGTGCATCTCTCTGAAGGAGCTCGCCGAGTGTAAACCCGGGGCCCCGTGGGAATACATCACGGTCAGGGCCGTGAATCCCACACATCTCACACGGTAACGTCAAAGCGCGCCCCCCCTCACCAAAGCGCGGGGCCCGAGGCGGTCGACTCCGAATTCGCGTTACCCCAGGGACAGCTCTGGTCGCGGTGTCCCTTAAGCCCCGGCTGCTTCGCCGGAGGTGATTCTCACCGGGATCCCGATGTTTGTTTCGTATGCCGAGGCTATTTTTCTGACGATCGCGTGTTTGGAGAAATCGATTGGACAGAAGCAAAATGTTTGCGTCCTTGACGAAGAAAAATATATATCTGTCATCGCTACGAGGGTCAACACGCCACGTGTTTTCGGGTTGTACCATCGTGTGATTCGGTTGCGTGTCCGACGTTTCGCTCCACGTGCCGCTGACTGCACAAGCTTCTACGGTGAGTAGGAGACCCTCTAATTCAGTCCACGAAGAAGGCCGCCAGTCAAGCACGTGGAGCGAAACGTCGGACGTCGTACCAAACGGCAAGTTGGTACGACTCGAAAAAACATCGGCAGATTCAAGGACAAGTATGTACAGTATGTTATCATGTGTTTTTTTATGAATACATTTATTTAGGATGCGGTTAATCAATTTGTGTAAAATCATCCCGCACGTGACGGATTTTATCTAATTAGAGACAATTATCATAATCAGCTCGCCACTGTTAATCAGAATGCACATCCCTGCATAGATGGAAAATTAAGGACAACCCACAGTGCCTTGATTGTGGCCATGCAACCTACACACCACGGACCACACAGTAGACCCACTGTAGCCTGCGCTCCTTCGACGGAGGAGGAACAGAAAAACGACACGAACTCTCTCTCTCGCGAAGCCTTCTCGTCGTGGCCAAACAGACCTCGACATTGGCATCTGGCGCCTGAACAATCCCTGCCGCTGTCCTCACGCGCAAGAATACAGCGCGTGACGAGTCACAGCTCTGGGGTCTCAGCAGAGAAACGTTTCGACGTCGGCGACGCGGCGAAACGTTCACGCGCCTCGATCCAGCGAACCCGAAACGTCGACCCCGACTTGGCGGAGTTCTCGCTCCGCGGTGGAGAACTCCCAGCGAGGGCGCGCGACTCGCGCACCCACACGGCTCAGCAGCTACCACTGATCACATCAGCATCAGCAGCAGCAGCTACCACTGATCACATCATCATCAGCAGCAGCAGCTACCACTGATCACATCAGCAGCAGCAGCTACCACTGATCACATCATCAGCAGCAGCAGCAGCTACCACTGATCGCATCATCATCATCAGCAGCAGCAGCAGCAGCAGCTACCACTGATCGCATCATCATCATCATCATCATCAGCAGCAGCAGCTACCACTGATCGCATCATCAGCATCATCAGCAGCAGCAACTTCCACTGATCACATCATCATCATCAGCAGCAGCTACCACTGATTGCATCAGCAGCAGCAGCAGCTACTACTGATCGCAGTGGTAGCTACTGCTGTTGATGATGATGTTGGTGGCGGTGGTAGCGGCTCGACCCAGGGGTTGGCGCGCTGCTGCTGCCGAGCCCTGGGAATGCGGCTATTCCAGGACTCCTTCGTGGCGGCGTCTATTAAGGGCAGTCTGGTATTCACATCAGGGCTGGAGATTGGAAGAAATTACTGGGGAAGTCAAAAATGATTCCCCCGACGAGATCTGACGAAGAGAAGGAGCTTCGCTCCGTATGTGGTCTCTATGCGTGTCTGTCAGGTTCTGTGCGTGTCTGTCGGTTTCTGTGCGTGTCTGTCGGTTTCTGTGCGTGTCTGTGGGTCTCTATGCGTGTCTGTCGGTTTCTGTGCGTGTCTGTCGGTTTCTGTGCGTGTCTGTCGGTTTCTGTGTGTGTCTGTCGGTTTCTGTGCGTGTCTGTCGGTTTCTGTGCGTGTCTGTGGGTCTCTTAGCGTGTCTGTCGGTTTCTGTGCGTGTCTGTCGGTTTCTGTGCGTGTCTGTGGGTCTCTTAGCGTGTCTGTCGGTTTCTGTGCGTGTCTGTGGGTCTCTTAGCGTGTCTGTCGGTTTCTGTGCGTGTCTGTCGGTTTATGTGCGTGTCTGTGGGTCTCGCTGTTAGTCTAGGCGTCTATCTGTGAGTCAAACAAATGATAAATCCTTGATTCCTTCTGGAACGCAGTCACATGGTTCGCATTTTCACTCCCACCACGGCGTTCCGGCTCCATTTCCACTACTGGTTCGCACTCATTGTAGCTCTTGAAATATTCAGGGTTTTTTTGGTTGTTGTACCGAATAAAAAAAAAGCTGCCTCGTATTTTGGTTGCCAACCCCTAGGGCTAGACAGTTGTACTGAACAGATGATGTTGATAACCATGCCGCTGACGCTAATCCGTGAACAGTGATGAGGCAACGCGACACACGCAGTTTTAGTGGTGACCCCCCATAACCCTCTACGCTGCCAGTCAGTGCAATATCCACTGCTTGGAGTGGACTTCATCGCACGTCGAGACCGCGAATGCTGCGCAGATCTTCAACCTGAATGTACTGCATTCATCTCGACGACGACACCCTTCAACTCGCCGCTCTGCCTGCAACTGCGTATCTGCGGCCGTCTGGAACACTCTTCCGATATTAGGAAGCCACTGGCGCAAAGCGCTTTAAAATCGCCCAGATTGAAAAATGCATTTCTTTAGCACCGCTTGTTTTATGGTTAGCTCGTTGTCCTCCCCCAGCCCTGCCCCTCCGATTAGCACGGTTGGCTACGTACGGTGCGAAATAACTTCAACGTGCACACGGTGCATACATCGGCTGCACACTAAGCTCACTGCACCCGCTACCCCCCCCACACTCTGTGTCCGGCGGTAATGGCAGTGGTGATTATGATCGCTTTAAATGTCCCCTTCCGTCATCCCCCGTACGTTGAGGACACGGCGTTGGCCCGGCAACTCGGGAGCATGGAATTTTTGTCTCTTCTGTTTTAATTCATGAAATGATTAACTTAAATGAGCTCGGCTAATTATCCACGAGATCGCGTTTACCCATTCCGCTGCGTTGCCAATTAACGCTCGACACGATGTAAATAATGGCGCCTGCTGCGGCAGTTTGAAGCGACAAATGAACAAACTCTGGGCTCACTTGGACTCTCCTCGACGCGCGCGGTGCGCTCCCCCAGTTGACGAAAGGCGCGGGCTGGCTGGCCTCTGTGGTGCGCGTGCGGATAGATGCGGAGGTCTCGGTCCACGAGACCCATCCACGCTGTGTTCAATTACCACCAACCACCACCAACCAACCACACGTCAGGTCACAACGACAAACTCGCTCACCCACTCAACCAGTCAACCACTCACACATTCATCAACACTGCCAGTCACAACAAGACACTCGCCTACTCACCCACTCATCACAATGCAGGTCACAGCGACACACTCACTCACCTACTCAACCACGGCTTACACATACAACACCATCACCCACTCGCCCACTTACCCATTCAACCACTCATCACAATCCAGGTCACAACGACAACCGCCAAGTGGCATTGACGTCTACACGGCACGTGGGGCATGCTCGGTGCATTCTGAGGCCACGTGAAGTGTCGAAGGCCCGCTGGCAGGAGGTCACGGAACGGGTACCATGGGTC